AGCACTGTGAAATAGTATATAAGTCTAAGTGCTATTGCTATTGCTATTTTGTTTACCATTGATAGATTAGGACTTTTTCCCTTTTCCAGCTTGGACCAATCTGCCCTGAAGTTAATTTTTTGCAAATATTTCATGAAAACACAGTATACAGTTTAGCCATTTGTGTTCTCTCTAGTGCAGTGGTTCTCAACCTTTTTAATGCCGCGACCCCCAACCGGTTGTAAGTCGAGGACTACCCAACCGATCGTAAGTCGAGGACTACCCAACCAGTCGTAAGTCGAGGACTTTCCCTGCCTGGGAGCACCGCGCATGCGTGGTGCCGCCCCCTGCGCCGGCCGAGGCGTAGCTGGCAAGCGGCAGAGACGGCACAGGCCGACCACCGGCTGGGCCACAAGCTGGCCCACCCCAAGGGAGGTAAGGCACCCGCCGGGCCCCACGCACGCCAGCAACCCTCCCTGCGCCCGCCGGCCTCCCACCTCCCACCCCTGGCCCTCTTTTACTTACATTTTTAGTAGTTTCTCAGCAGGGAGGGGTGGAAACTTCCAGACAGCTCGCCTTCGCTGCAGACAACTTGCAGCACCGTTTGCAGAATGGGACTTTTGGCAGGCTCAGCAGGGCAGAGACAGCCTGGACAATTCCTATTGGCTTTTGAAAGCCAATAGAATTAGACTCTATTCAAGATAAAAGGGAGTAGCACAGCTAAGGAAAAGGGGGGGAAAATGGCGGACTGTGTTGTTTGGCGACCCCCGTGAAATGGTCGTTTGACCCCAAATGGGGTCCCGACCCACAGGTTGAGAACCACTGCTCTAGTGTATATCAAGTTTGCAAATAAGGATTGAGACGTGTGTGAAACTTCCTTTTAAATATATGTGTATATATTAAATATATCTGTCTATCTGATACCTCATTCTCTTCGATATCTGTTTTGATATTATGACCTGAAACTCAGTTTAGGGACCAAACACAGTTGTGTTTCAGAAAGCCTGCAAATTTTTGAATGGCATATCCTAAGGATCAGCCATCTTTTTAAAGAGATGATGTATACCAGTTAGTGAATAGAATAGAATAGAATAGAATAGAATAGAATAGAATAGAATAGAATAGAATAGAATAGAATAGAATAGAATAGAGCTGGAAGGGACCTTGGAGGTCTTCTAGTCCAGCCCCCCTACTCAAGAAGGGGAACCATTCTATACCCTCTCAGACAGTCCAGTCTCTTCTTAAAAACCTCCAGTGATGGAGCGCCCATGATTTCTGAAGGCAAGCTGTTCCATTGGTTAATTGTCCTCACTGTTAGGAACTTTCTCCTTAATTCCAGGTTGCTTCTCTCTCTGATTAGTTTCTGAGTACATTTTTCCTTGTTTTCATGAGGTACAGACCATCTCTTGCCAAGAGTCCTTCATGTAGGAAATGCAGTTCATGGTCCAGGAAACCAAAGCTTTCTTGGTGACACCAACCCTTTAGCCAATGATTTATTTCTAGAATTCTTTTTTCACTCAATGGGTGCTGGCCTTTTGTTGGGAGTACTGATGAGAACACTACTTGTGCTCCTAGCTCCTTACACTTATTGCCTAGTTCAGTGATGGTGAACCTTTTAGAGACTGAGTGCCCAAACTGCAACCCAAACCCCACTTATACATTGTCGAGTGCCGGGTGGGTGTGGTCCATTGGGTGGGCGTGACCCATTGGGTGGGCATGACCCATTGGGTGGGCATGGCTGCGGTGATAACGGCAGACTGGGTGGGACTAAAAAGTTCAATCAATCAATTCCAACTTTGCAAGATCTTTTTTTTTCCTGCGAGAAGTTGAAATTGACTGACTGAACCTTTTTTTTTTTTTTACACACAGCGGTGGAGGCCTAAAGGGAAAACATTTTATAAAACCCAGCTGAAGGCCTAGGACTGAGACAACATACCTCCCTGGATTCCGGTCTGCAGATGGTTGATTCTGTTCCTTTGAGAATAGAATCTTCTATCACTAGCACTTGCCTTTTTGGGGGGGAGGTGCAGTCTGAGATTCTTTTCTGTTTATCTCAGGTGTGTTTGTTGATGTGACTTTTTTAGGGATATTTGGTGTTGTTTCTTTGCTAGGTGTCTGTTTTCTTTGAGGGAGAGGTTGTAGATCTGTGTATTTCCATTTAGGGGGAGAAATCAATTGCTCAGTTTTAATGGGGCTGCTTCTGGTTGGGTTAGATCGGGTAGTAAGAGTTTGTTAGATGTATGCTGCTTCTTCCTTTGATTGTTGTTTGAGACAATACTGCTTCACAATTCTTAATTTTAATTATTCTTATTCAGCTGAAAATAACAAGAGATATCTGAGCCAACCCAGTTTCTATGATATTAATTTCTCACCAGATCAAGAATTTTAACTGCCTAAAGGAAAGGGGATTCTATTTCTTACTCCAGCATCCAACAACTTAACTATTATAGTAGAGGCATTATAATCAGATATCGTGGGATTGTTGCTGCTGTCTGAGCTTGGTTGTTTGCTTGCATATGTTTCATTACCTAACTAGATAATATCATCAAATTGCCTATTTAGGTGATGAAACATCTGCAAGCAAGCAATCAATAAAGCTCAGATATCTCATTTCATGATGAAATTGATGGCTTCTATTTAGACTAGCACTGATGATTTCACCTAGTTTGGGTAATGAAACGTCTGCAAGAAAACAGGCACCAAGGACACCCCCATCCTCCCGAAATTGCTTGCTTCCATCCTTTTTCTCTTATAAGATGGATACTGAAGAAGTAGGGTAGAAAGAACACTGTACTCATACTTTTGAACTTTGGTCTTGAAGAAGACTTCTGAAAATACCATGCACAGCCAACAAAACAAAAGATGGATTGTAGTTCTTACACAAGGTGCAAATGACCCAAACTCAAATTATCATATTTTGAACACACCACGAAAATTCTGTTTCCTTACCAAGTCCTGAAAAGATGGAAGGAAAAATGAACAAGAAGATAACTAGCAACAAGGTGGATAGACTTAATTACAATCAGTAACCAAGCTAAACAGAATTTTTCACAGACTTCTAACATGTATCTAGGCATGGCTTCATAACACCTCTTTTTCTCACGGTCAAGATCCAAAGAAGCAATAAGGTCCCTGAGACTAAAAAGTATTTGGTGGGCAGGCTGCATGGAGAAAAATGGAATGGAAATATTGTAGAAACTGATTATACTTCTACTTTGATTTGGAACATGAGTAGCATAGGAGTAGCTTATGATCTGTTCCACATCTTTGTTCTTCTACCTCCTTGTACCAAAAATATAGTTGATTGATTTCTTTGTGAATCATCTATTGATGTCCATGTATGTCGATGTAGTTTTAGTTGTTTGAGAAATTGTCAGCAATTTAGGAATCATTAGATTGGCAGAAGCTGGTAAATTACTTTCCTCTTCCTTTGTTTCCTAGACTGTACAGTTCAATTATATTTTCTTCCTTAATATTTGTAACTTTGGCATTCCATAAGCAGGATATTTTGTTAAATCAATTTCAGATTAAACTTGATCATAAAACTGGTAAATCTCCTATCCCTTTCCAGAGATAATCCTGGATAACTTATCATATTAAAGGGTTATTCCCCAAATCTAACTGACAGTAATTGGTCATTGTTTGCATTGTACCTATGTGCTGTGTTTGCTTCCTGATATGAAAGCAATGCTGTTCTTTGTTTTTGTATCCAGAACAATCAACACTATGATTGTTTTTGATCTAATTTCAAGATATTTCATCACTTTCCCATGTTCATACTTCTTATATTCCATGGTCCCACTTACCATTCTGCCTTTGTAGATTTTCCTGCATGGTAATGTCAGCATCAAGAAGTGTGGAAAACTTAAATATAGCCACATCATAAACATCATCAGAATTCTGAGAAATCTCCAGCTTTTCCTCAGTTACATGTGGAGTGCCAATCAGATTCAGGGGTTCATAATTGGCACTACAGTATATTATTCTTTATTAGGGTGGGTGGTAAAAATTATTTGCTATTGCCTTCCCCAGCACTGTTTTTGCAATTGTGTCTTAATTGTGATCATGTGCCATCAACATCGTCCTATACGGCTGCTGCCTGATGTGGGTGCCCACTTGTTTAGTTGGATGACTCCAGTAGGAGTATACACTCTTGGCATAAACTCCCAGACTGCTTCATTCATCCCTTCCAGGAACGTACCACCACCTACTATCACCCTGGAGTAATTATGTGTGTATGCATGTGTGTGTTAAGCTCCATTGTCTACCATCCAGAAACTGCTTTATGCGAACTCACAACCCAAATGTATTGAACTCATAGATAGTCCCTTGAACATAGCCCTCCTTATTTGTCTGGAAGCAATCCTTATTCATCAGAGAGAAAAGCAAAACAAACAAAATCATAATTTGGAAGCTTGATTGACAATTTGGAGTGGTTTTGATGTGAGTTAACTATGTGGGTGCTTAGCCAAATTTTAAATGTTGCTATAGGACAAGCAGCTACATGAACATTAGCAGGCGGTCACATCTGCTCCATTGAGTTGTGACTAATAACAATATTCAATTCTGAGAAAGACCAACCTAATTATGACCTATAACATGGCCCTTCTCATTATTATTCAATCAGAATAGATTACTGCCGGTACTCTATCTTCCCTGTCATTGATCTTATGGAATTGACACAACCATCATGTTACTAGAGATGGTCTATATCCCTCTGTTGTGAAATTAAAAGGTATTTACAAACAGTTGTGCTCTGAGCAGTAAAATACAGTTATCTAGTTTTATGAAACCTGGCCCTGAAGGGTAGTTGTCATGTGCAAAGAGCATTAGTGAATGCTTCTCCAAAAATGTTTGTAAAGAGAGAATATGTAGAGGCTTCTCACTTCCATAGAACAACCTGTTGCTTGATTCTGGAGAAATGTGAGGTGATGTGAATGCAGATGTCCTACTTGTAAGCTGGCTGGAAGAATTTTCTAAGGCTTTCAGCTGATCCTCTATTCTCTTGGCTTCCTTTATAGTACAGTGCTGTGGACAACAACCCTCTTTCCCTGTATGTCATGCATCCATTTTGGAACACTATAGTTAAGGTGAGTAAACCTATTGTCTGCCCTGTTTGTGCATGCTTTCTGTGCTATACTTGGGCTTTGTTTAACTCTCTGTAAGTAGAAAAAAATTATGACTCATTTAATATTACTACAACCCCTTCCTTTTCTCTGTGACTAACCCAGGAGATTCCCTTCTTCAGAAAACTTGATCATTTGGATATGCAGTCATCTTGTGGACTGGATTTTATGTTCTGCTGCTATAGAACAATAAGGAAAAAAAAGCTTATGTCAAATGAATAGTTATTTTCCTCTTGTTTATTTATCCTTGATGAAAATTACTGTGTCCATTAATATGAACTTGCTGTGTGTTTTTTTTACTTGCTTTCTCCTAGATTTTTCCTAAGTGGCTGGCCCCAAATTTGATAACATTTTCTGGTTTCCTGCTACTTGTCTTCAACTTCTTTCTCATGGCATACTTTGACCCTGATTTTTATGCTTCTGGTAAGACTTTCATGTTTCATTCAATTTTTAAATTGTGTGTGCCTTTATAATCACAAGAATGTCAAGAATTATGAAAAATATATTCTCGATATTGATATCTGTTTGATTTTGGCCTTGCTTGATATTCAGACTGACTCAGTTTTACTTAGCTATAGCCAGGCCACATAGATTTATTCAATAAACGATGCGTAAAATAATCCGGTTTAACTTGAACTGAGCCCTTGTATTGCTAGAACCTTGCCTACTTAGTCTTGCTATGGTGTTCTTAGGTTTTCCAATTTCTCGGTTTATTTTTTACAGGCTTTTAAAAATATGTGTGCTGTCCTTCAAAACAAGGTGTATATCTAGCTGCTTGCAGGACATTGAAATCATAAAAGTGTATAGAGATTTTAAATGAAAAGTAAAATGTAAGTCACAATTAAAATGCATTATAAATATAAAACAGTAACAGCAATTAGTACATCAATTGATTAAAGTACCTGAGAGAATGAAAATACAGATACAGGTAGTACTTGGTTTATGAATGGTTGCTTAGTTCAAAGTTCTGACAGACCTACTTTGGGGGACTTACAAGCCAGATTCGATATTCTGATAGCCAGCCTCTCTCTCTCTCTCTCTCTCTCTCTCTCTCTCTCTCTCTCTCTCTCCCTCCCTCCCCCTCCCTCCCCCCCCTCTCTCTCTCTCTCACACACACACACACACACCAAGGTCACATGATTGTGCTTTGGGCGCTTGACAATTGGACTGCATTTACAGCCATTTGCATTGTCCCGTGGACCACATTTTACAACAGTTTTGCCGAAAACCAGAATAATGACTGTTTTTGCCAAAACAGCACTCACTGCAAATCATTGGTTCACTTAACAACAACAGGGGACATTATTATCCTGGGAGAATATCCTCTTTGAAGAAGATCTTAAAATACGATTGGTAATTACAGGAAGAAATATTCCTTCATATATTGTGATGCCAAACCATGAAGGACTTTACAGGTAGTCCTTAGTCCTCACTTAATGAACGACAATTGAGATTGTTTGTTGAGCGAAGCAGTTGTTAAGCAAGATGTCATGTGACTGAGACCCCCATGACTGCTTTGCTCAGTGATCACAATCCTGGCACTCCCTGTTGTGGTTGTTAAGTGGACAATAAGGAATGTGCCTGAGGGGTGGGCAGGGAATCTGGGAGCCTCTGTTCAAAAGCTGAAAATCTCCCCTGCCAAAATTCAAGCAGGATTTACAGCCCCTGAATGAAGAGACACTCACATGCAGCTGCACCAGGCCTCCTTCCCCACCCACCTGAGGCATCCCACACTCCTTATCTTCTGTGCTGCCTCTCTGCTCAAGAGTTGAAAATCCTGCTTGCATTTTGGCTCACTCTCATCTCTAGGAATTAGCTGAAAGAGCTGCTTGCCAAAGGATGTCAGCTTTCTTCCATGCATGGAAGGGAACTCCTTCCCCAGGATCAGGAAGCAGAGCATAAATCATCAGGAAATGAGTTTCATTTTTTTCTACCTCACTAAAGGGAATGCTTTTTGCAGCATGCAGGAATAGCTCAGATCCTCAGAATCTGAACTCCATTCCTTCACTCCACTAAAGGAGTTCAGCCCCCCTTAGCAGGCGGCTTTTTCAACCAACCTCCAGAGATGAGAGGGAAATACAGCAAAGAAGGTTGCAAATGGCAACAGTTGTAAATGCAGACAGGTTGCCAGTCACCCAGATTGCAATCACATGACTGCAGGGGATAGCACAGTACTTTACGACAGCTGGAAGTCCAAGGGCATCATAACTGTAAACATTGTTAAACAACCAGTTGGTAAGCCAGCTACCTGTTTAGTGCCTGATAACACAGGTGCTTTTACCTGGCTTCACAAATTATTTTATTTTATTTATATACCGTCCCTCTCACTGTTTGACGCAGCAGCTGGGAATTGGTCGAGGTTGCATAAATCTGGATAGTAATATCCATTTAATCTGGAGGCTAATACAATTATAATCATACAAAAATAAGCAATACATGAAAACGTTCATAATAAAAAAGAGAAAATATATCGAGCACAATTTACTCATGGCTTGACACTCAGTGTAATGTCCATAACTCCCCCAAACTCCTTTGGAAGAACTCTATTGTAACAACCTTCCAAAAGATGAGGCTAATTTAATCTACATGGGAAGTCTGCTCCAAAATTTGGAGCTGTGTCCAAGAGCTAGTGTTTCCTGCATTTGGCCTACATCATCTCACCAAAATGAGGGATTACCCACAGCTTCTCTTGAGAGGAATTATTTAGACAGATTGAATCTGGTTGGGGAAGGCAGTTGTGGCTGAGGGTAGACTTGAATTTGGGTTTCCCTCATTCTGGGTCAACCTTAACAGCTACACTCTTTTTCATAACCACCTAATTCTAGACTGTATTAAGAAATCTAAGGTTTTTTTACAATAACAATCTTTAGTGCTTAATGAACAATTTGTTGTCTGGGTTCATATACTTAAAAACAACCAATAATTAATTTCTATAATTAATACGTTAGTTGATAATATATTTCCTTATAATAATATATTAAAAAAGAAATCTTAAGTTTTTTGTTTCATCAACCCACAGACTTAGTGCAACATACAATAGAACAGCAATAAAAGAAAAATGCATTAAGAGGTAATAGTCAAAACAGTATTAAGAAAACACCCTTTGTGATGCATGCCATAAAAACCAATAAACTTAAATTTAGTAGTGCAGAATTGTTTTAACTGCCTTACAGAACACTGGATTGTGCTAGATTATACCAATGAACTTCCCATTTTTTATTGATAATGATGTTAGAAATAATTTCAGATGTTGTACTGAATCAAAAGTCATTAGTCTGCTGGAACTACTCTGTAATGAAAAGTGAAAGGAAATAATGGGATGCAGAAAGTTATGTATGGTGTTGCAAAAATGCATGTCTAATTTTCCTCCATTATTCTAGGAGTCCAAAGAAACTAAATGATTAAAAGTTCACAAAATATTCCTTTAAATAAGATGTGGGATTCTTCATCATCAGGTAGAGGGATAATGTTTACCAATTTGCGAAGGGAAATTGAACAAAGTTCTAATTAGCTACCAAATAGGATACAATAGCTGTCTTTTGCCTCTAGCAAATCCTTAAATATCAGTTTCTAATTAATCCTCAGGTTTATTTGATAGGCTGCTCAGAAAGTTGGCTGTCAAGGAGAATAGGATACTGATTTTAATAAACTTTTGCTTCCATTGTGCAATCTTGTTTTTAGTAAAGAAATTAGAGCAACCCAAAATTGTATGGCTTTGACTTTGACTCATAGAAGAAAGCATGAATGGCTGGTTGGAAACTGATTAGCAGCAGTCCATATTGCAACTTCTTGCTGAAGCTCTTTTGTGTCTTATTTAATTGTAATGCTTAATTCGACTGACTATTTTTAGGCTTAGCCACAATCCATTTACTGTCCAAGAGTAACATTTAAGTTTTAATTAAGGTTAATCGGCAACATGTCCTAAATCTGACTCAGTGGAATACGTTGTTTGATCTCTCTTTCTCTACGAGGATTATCCTTAGTGAAATTATACAAAGATGCTTTTGGGTTCTTGTTATTTTGAAATAGAGAATTTTGTTTTTCCATCATTGAATGTGGGTGAGACATTAAGATTAAGATCTCAGCAAATAGTATAGCAGCTGCCCTCTGTGTTTGCAAAGCAAGGATCTTCGTGAGGGCAGACAAATCTCTTGTTGTTTAGTTCTTTCACTGCTGTTTACTGCCCAGCTAATAATCAATATGACAATAGTTTTATAATGGTGCTGCTTCCTGGATCTATTTTTCCAAACTGAAAGCACAAACTCAGTTCAGATCAAGATCAAAATATATATTTTTCTCTCCCTAAAGGTATTTTTCTTGAAAAACGTCTCACAAAATTTTGACCCAAATGGGATTTGAAATTTATGCAGAGCTAGCTAATAATGCATTAATATTAAACATAAGCCTGAATGAAAATTGGCAGAAATATAGGAAATGAAAATCAGCTATGTGAAAGTACAGAGTAAGGATTTAAATTCTTGCCAAGAGTATGTGAGACTTCATTAATACAGAAAGTCTTTGTTTTACCTTGCATTTCACTGGTCAACTCTCCTTCAAGGTTGTTTTGTATTGTGTTGTGTTGTGAGGTAACAAATAAATTGAATAAATAAAACAAGTCAAGCTAAATTTCCAAATATCCATGGCGTTTGTTATCAATAAGAGGGAAAATAGTTGTCATTGCCTTCTTCCTGTGTTTATATTTTTGGACTTTACAATCTAGGCTGTGAGTCCAGAATTACCTGGTAAAAAGTATCATCCTACTAACTTTTCAAGGTCAGCTGGATGTTTTGCTTCTCATTGATATACAATTTATTACCTCAGATTATATCAAAATTGTGTTATAACAAGTAATTATAGAAATTATAGTAGTAGTAGCTGTGGTGGCACAGTGATTAGAATGCAGTATTACAGGCTAATTCTGCCCACTGCCAAGAGTTCAATCCTGACCACCTCAAGGTTGACAGCCTTCCATCCTTCCATCTTTCCAAGGTTGGTAAAATGAGGGTCCAGATTGTTGGGGGCAATATGCTGACTCTATAAACCGGTTAGAGAAGGCTGTAAAACACTATGGAGTAATATATAAGTCTAGGTCAGAGGTCGGCAACCTGTGGCTCTAGAGCTACATGCGGCTCTTTCAGCCTTCTCCTGCGGCTCCAGGCTCCTGTCCTCCGCCATTTGCAGAGAGAGAGAGACAGAGAAAGGCACTTGCGCTTCTCTCTCTCTCTCTCTCTCTCTCTCTCTCACTCACACACACACACACACACACACACACACGGACTTGCCCCCTCACAGGGCTCCTGCTTGGCCCTGCGCCCAAGCGCCCTGCCCCCTGGGAGAAGTGCAGCCAGGAAGTCCTTTTTCTGTGCTGGACCCATCCAAGGCGCACATGGCCAGGGAGCTGCACAAGGCAGCCTCAGGATCCCCCCTGGGAGCAGCCTGTCAGAGCCTCTGCTAAGTGGGCCAGCCCTCCCAGAAGCCGTGGCCCCAGGAAAGGGGTCTGCCCTGTTTAGGGTCGGGGGCTCCCTTCGGAGTTGCCCCCGAAGTCTTGTGCTTCCCTTGAAGCCTACTGGGAGATGGGAGGGGAGGCGGCGGCAGCTGTTCTCTCAAGGGACCCCCGCCCGGGAAAGGGAGGTAAGCAACGAGTGCCGGATGCCCGCGGGGGAAGCTTGCTCTGTCCTTCCTTTCAGGCACTGTTTCTGAAAAGAGGGGGGACCCAATTGGAGCAGGAGGACCCCTCCCCAACCTATCCCCACAACACCTGCCGGGCTTCCCGGGAAGCCTGGCTTGGGGCTGAGGGGGGAGGAAGCTGGGCACTGTAGGAGCCCCAGAGCCGGAGGGAAGAAGGGCCACCTGGAAGGATCGGCGCATGTTGGGGGTCCTCTCCTTGGGGCAGGGGATCCTGGGAGCCCGGCTCCCCTCATAGCCCGGTGCTGGGTTCCCCCCCTGGGTTTTGCAGGGGGGGCTGCGGTGGGGTCCCCAGATCAGCAGGGCAGGGAATTGGGTCTTCTGTAAGACCCTGGGGTGTCTCTTCCTGATTCTGCTCAGCTCTGGGTCTTTGTTCCGAAGGGAGCCTGGCTGAGCAGCTTTGGGGATCTTCCAAGGGGGGCTGGCTGTGCCGCTCACTGGTCAGAGCTGGAGGGTCAACCCCCGCCGCACCAAGGGGGTCCACAGAGCCCAGCCATGTCCTCAGATGGAGCCCCCGACTCAACCAGGAAGAAAGAGCGAGAAAAGAGCTTTGGGTTCTGTTTCCTCCCCTAGCAAGGAATTTGAATTGTGACAGATGTGAACTGGCCTCAGGGGAGCGATGGACTCCGAGAGAGCTAAACCCCCCCCCAGTTATCCTGAAAGGGAGGGAGGGAGGGAGGGAGAGGAAAGAGAGAGGGAGAGAGAGAGAGAGAGAGAATATGAATATATGTTGTCCTTACTGGACTTTTAGTAAAGAACGTTTAATGAAATACTTTGATTTTTTTAATTAAGAGATGATGCTGTATTTAAAGATCGTAGATAAGCTACTAAAATTGTTTTCACCTGTTGGGATGGAGAAAGGTTTTTTCCCCCCCTCTTTCTCCTGCATAAAAATCTGTTTTCTTTGTAGCAGTTCATTGATTTCATAAATGCAACACACTATAGTTTTTTTTATACATAGGATAAAGGTTAAAAAAAGGATATATGCAGTGTTATCTTCATTTTAGATGTCAAAAGGGTTTTGTGGCTCCCAGTGTTCTCTTTTCTTTGAGAAAGGGGTCCAAGTGGCTCTTTGAGTGTTTAAGGTTGCCGACCCCTGGTCTAGGTGCTATTATCTTGGGTCCTTTCTGTTCAAATTATTTTTAAGAATCAGCACTTTCTGAATAAGCATGTCTCACTTAATAATGAATACAATTTTGATGGAAACCCAGGCTTTATATTTGTTAGTATTGAAATTCGCACCTGAGAGAAAAATTAAAACCAGGATATTTTATAGTAGCTGAAATGCTGTTTTGTTTCCCTAAATATCGAGAAGGGTTATAACCTTTAGAGCAATAATACATAACTTGAGTTCCCTGGATTGAATGCAGCCCTCCCCCCAAGATTTGTATACAGGAATTCACAGAATGTACACCCAAAGATTAATAACTACATCTAACTAAATGGAAATGAAATGAAATCTCATTCTTCTGGCCACACACACTCCTTTTTGAAAGGAAGCTCTACATGTCTTTCAAAGGGCAAGGATAGCCTTATTTATTAATATAAAAATGCAATATAGCATTTTCCAGATGATTTGGATTCCATTTCCTATCTGACTCGTGGACTTCAATTCCCAGAATTCCTGAGCTGTGCTGGCTCAGGAATTCTGGGAGTTGAAGTCCACGAGTCATAAAAGAGCCAAGGTTGCCTACCCCTGGTCTAAGGCATCAGGCGAGTCCCAGGAAGGATACATTTTCTCAAGACGTTTTGATTTGGAGGGGACAGGGGGCATAATTTAGTAAGAAGCACAGCTAATCCCATTATTGAAGCATTTAATTTTCCAATTCAGCCTCAATGCTTTGGAGCCCACTCATTCTAATATCTTTCTTTCAGATTAACTGATCTTGCTGCTGTTGTTTTATCTGCATATTATTTCAACTTGTAATTGTAATTTAAATTTATTGTCAGCCGCCCAGAGTCACAAGTAGTGGGCGGTGTAGAAATGTGATGAATGAATAAATAAAATACTATTTTACACTATAATTATGGCAATAAGAGTGGCATTCCCAATTAGGTGGTAGTTGCTATGAATTCAATGGTAAGTAAAGGTTTGCTGATACAAGCAAGTAATGATGTTAGAATAGGTTTTCCACATCATAGTGTCTCTTTGCCATTGCCGCCTTTTGGGATTTTTTTTTAAACTTCTCATTCTAATTTACAGTCCTAGTATTTCCTGGTAGTCTCTCGCACATGCTTTTTTGAGGTCAGGCAAGACCAACCAGCTGCTGTGACTTATTATTGTCCCGAAACTCTTCTAGAGTTCCAGGTTGGTTAAGCCTGCAATAGAATGAACCTGATCTTAATGACTAAAATGTACTCTTCTTGTTTGAAAAAAATGTTTTCCTAGGAAAAATAATGACTCAGAATTACTTGTCTTTCCTGCAGCACCAGAACAAAAGCATGTTCCAAACAAAGTGTGGGTCATAGTAGGTCTTCTCAATTTTGCGGCTTATACTCTAGGTAAGATCTGTTAATTTTCTGCACACTGTATTTATACAATTAGCAATATATTATTGAGCATTAATATTATTGAAACCAAATTCCCTGAATAAAACAGCTACTTATTATTACACCTACAGGTCTAGTGCAAAATACATATGCAAGCAGATTGTACCTTATGCCTCTTACCATTAATGCTTGTGGCTGAAATATCAGAGGATGTTTTTCCCAAAGAGGAGGAGGGATAGAGAAGCTGCTCTGTTCTTTGTTGCACATTCATATTTCTGAAATAGCTGTTGCTTCTTCATTTTAGTTTTATCAGGGGCAAGAAAGGAGACTCTGGAAGATGCAAGCCCAAAGCCACAAGCAATTTGTTCTAAAGTAATTAGTTTTCTTTTGGAAGCCACATATTCTGATCAGCTTTTACAAAAGGAAATAAGAGTATCTACTAGTAAAGTAAAGTGCAAGTAGTATGTGCATAGGAAAAAATGTATCGGGAATATTAAATGCAGTGATGTAAGGCCTTGAGAATCCTTTAAAAGAGCAGTTATGGATCTGTAGCAATTTTAGGAAAGCAGTAGGATTTACAGCAGAAAAGGGATAATGTTTTAGGGATTCAGTTAACCACAATCTGAAAACCAGATCTTTTTTTTCTGCCTCATATGCACTTTCCACTGTTTTTAACAACAATGGCACTAGCAAATGGGCCTTGGTTTATGAATTGCCAGAGCCTCACCCAGCTTAGTTCTTAAATGTTTTTGCTTTGATTTCTTTCCTTACTGTATTTTTCTTCTAATTTTAATCCCAGCCACTCAATAGAAATGAAAGCTATCAGTTAACCTTCTCTTTCTGTGACATCTCTCTCCTCAGATGGTGTGGATGGGAAACAGGCACGTCGCACCCAATCCAGCTCCCCACTTGGGGAACTCTTTGACCATGGCCTAGACAGCTGGGCTTGCATGTTCTTTGTGGTGACCGTGTACTCCACTTTTGGCCGAGGATCCAATGGTGTCAGCGTTTTTGTCCTCTACCTGCTCCTCTGGGTGGTTTTGTTCTCATTCATCCTTTCCCATTGGGAGAAGTATAATACAGAGATTCTCTTCTTGCCTTGGGGTTACGATATCAGCCAGGTGGTAAGTCAACCAGCCTTTTGCCACAATCATTTCCAAGGGTTGCCTTAATAGTGGTCAGAGATCTGGTGTCATGGATCCGACAGCTACAATGAGCATGGCTGCAGCCATTTTTTCTTCTCATTCTAGGTTGCCATCTGGCTTATTTTGATTCTCTGGGGTTTATATTTGCTTCACTTGCTTATTATTACCACTTTCAGGTTAAAGCCCCATTTATTTTATGTGAGATTTCTTTAGAAGTCTTGAAATAAGATGTGGAAATGTTTAACCCTGGAGTTTTCAAACCTTTTGGTGCCACGACCCTTTGAAACAATACATGAGATTTAGAGTTGAGTGAGAAATAAATACACCACTATGAGTAATGAAAATTATTTAAATTAATTATGTTTGTATGTACATAGAATCAACAGTAGAGCCCTACAGCTTTATAAAATAAAATTTTATTGGAAATAATCCTATTTAAACATTAGTTTAAATAGAAAGTAGAAGCTTGTTCAGTATTACATAATTCCTAAAATATTAATTTTTATTGTTGAGACAACCATTCTAATTTTTTGTTCTACGCATATTTTGGAATGATAGTTATTCCCTGAGTGGGCTATAACCTATATTTTAAGACCCCTAAGTTAACCTAAAAGCAATGGAGAGCTTTAGATAGGCTTGTGTGTGTAATTTACCACTCAGTTCAAGGGCGTGCTAATGCTGTCAGATTTCCCTGTGACAGACTAGAATAGGCTACAAAAAAAATCCTCTCTAAAAGTTGTCTTGAATCAAAAAATTTATCGGAGCCACCATTCTTACAGTTTGGAAACAAAACTAACTGGTGATTTCCACAAAGTCTAAAGCAGGGGTAGTCAACCTTGGCTCTTTTATGACTCGTGGATTTCAATTCCCAGAATTCCTGAGCCAGCTTAGCTGGCTCAGGAATTCTGGGAGTTGAAGTCCACGAGTCATAAAAGAGCCAAGGTTGACTACCCCTGGTCTAAAGGAAGGATATCTTTTTTAATCAGTTTCCATTCATTGCAAGGATGTATAATGGCCATAGTATTTATTCAGACTTTCAGGCTTGTAGGATTTGATTCATATCTAGAGAGTTTGAGAAATTGTAGTTATGAAAGTGAGGTTAGGACTGTGGAGCAACTACTATTTAGAGATGAAATTTAGCAAACTGGTATCCTGATTACTGTTTACTGCTATACTCAGTAATCAATTGGCCTTGAGTAACTCACTTGAACTCAGTTGAAGGTAAACATTGAGAAATGACACAACAATTAAAGCAATTCTATTTGGGCATAATGGAATTGGTCTGTATAAGAAATTTCTGCATTGATTCATTTGGGCTACCAAGGCATGAACTGCAAAAAAAAAAAAAAATGATTCCCAGGTACTTAAAAAAAGATGAAGATGACACTTTTGACTAGCTTCTAAATTGAGCCCTTAATAAAGCAAGAAGCAGATGCACATTTTAAATACTTTGAAAAATTCTAAGGGATAGATGTTTTGGATAAGGCCTTAGCTTTGTGAATGGAAAGTATCTCTCCTCTAAAGTCATGTCTCTTGAGACATATAATTTTAAGAATCAAAGCATGTGTTTCTCTCCATCTGCATGTTTCATAGACAAACCCAGCAACACAGTGGATGAAATTGAGTGCATTTATTGGCAGGCATGAATGCCATAGAACTTGGTAAAAGTAGCTTTGTTTGAAAAACAACTACCAAGTATAGTTGTTTTTATTGGTGTTAGTTGTCCACTCCTCCCGAATGCTGGTGGGCAGGCACTTTCTTTCCACTCTTCTGGGATGCCCCACTGAACACTTTCTGAACAATCACTCACCACGTTGGAACCTTAAAAGAGCCCTTTGCCCTCTTACGTTTGCTGCCTACAGGTTTTATTGACTTGGACTTAAATACTTGCATGGCTGAGCAGAGGGGACCTTGATTTTTTTCCCCCACACTAAAATCTGATTCCTTATCCTCCATATACAGTCTCACTCATGAATTTAGGAAGAGAAATTACATTTGAAACCTATTAACAAAAATCCAAAATCTCATAACTGTAAATGGAGAATTTTGGATGAAAAGTTTTTGCCTGTCCTCCTTTCTGTGTGTGATTTCAGGATTCAGCTGAATTAGTTTGTATATATCTTTCACGCTATTAAACTTTCTACACTTACGCTGTTAGCCTATAGAATTTATTTCCAGATTTTTTTTTTTTAAAAAAAAAGACTATTGGGGCAGTCCAACTTTCCCTTCTTTTTCCATAAAATTTACTGGTCTCTGGATACCCGCAGTACACCATCCTTCTATAAAATGCAAATGACGAGAAAGGACTACGAGAATCATCTTGTCCAACTCTCTCTGCAGTCTACAGCAAAATCATTCTTGATAGATGGCTCTCCCACTTCTTAAAAATTCATAGCCTTTATAGGTAGACTACTGGCTTATAGAGATCATACTATCAGGACAATTTTATCTTATTTAAATGAAGTCTAGGTAGCTATAATTTAAATCTTTATTTGTGCTTTTAATTTCTTTGGGAAAAGAAAATCTTTCCTGATCCTCTTCCCTATGGCATTCTTTTATATACCCAAACACTAATACTATGTTGTTCCTTAATTGTCTTTTGTCCAGATTGCGTACCCTAAGTTCCTTCAGCATGTCCTCAGAGTTTTCTGGTATATTGATGCTCACTGATTGTTCATATCCCCCATGCGAATCATTTTGTAAATGGACAAGTTTTGTGGGTACTATTTCATAAAAGTGCCTTGATCATACTTTCAAGATATAACTTGCAATCAGCAGCTTAAAAACCTTGGGGTATTTTCTGGGCCAGCTTCCAATTTTGCACACCTTCCAGATACCAGTTTTCAGCATTCTCAGTAAAATAGGTATGGAAATGCAGACACCTATGGGATGCTTAGTTTGGGAGAGGTTGCCTTGGTTTGTAGCTCCTTCCCTTTTAACAATGGTAAGAAAAGTTAGCTCTGCTCTTTGCACCAGTTATTAACTCTTGGACATGCAGTTATAGCAGGCACAGGGCATGAAGAAAAAACTTAGATATTTCCATCAACAACATTCATGTTACATTATAACACATAAAAGGGTTTTCTGATCTCTAGACAATTTTGGAAATGCTGAATAGATGATTATTATAATGATGTGTAATTCTGTCTTCTTTTCCAGACCATTTCAATAGTATACATAGTGACATCCATCCTAGGAGTGGAGGCCTGGTACAGCCCTTTCCTGTTTCATTTTTTATATAAGGATCTGTTTGTTGCTATGATAATTGGTAAGAGGAATCTTGTAGAAACTTGTATCTTTCAAGCTGCTTTGCACCAAAACCTAATACAGTGGTGGCGAACCTATGGCACGCGTGCCACAGGCGGCATGCAGAGCCGTCCCTGTGGGCACGCACGCCATCACCCTGGAGGGAGGCCGGGCCAGACTGCTCCCTTCCGCCTCTCCATGTGCGCCTGCACTCTCGGCTCTCTTTCTCTTTGCATTGAGAGCCCGGGCTGGATGGTGGAAAAGGCCTCTGTTGCCTGGATCGGCCGTGGGGGGGGTGTGCAAAATCCCCCACCCACCGTGCAGATTGCACTGCTGCTGTTCTTCCCCCGCCGCATTTTCGGTGCCCACTTCGAGCCGCTGAAGTGCCATAAAATCACTCCACGGCCATGGATGCAAGTTCCAGAGACTTCGAAAACACTCTGCTGCCCAGATCGGCTGGGGTGGTGATGGAGCAAAATCGCTTTGCAGCCCTAGATCTGGGCAGCTGAGCCAGCAGGGAAGCAAAAGTGTCGGGAAAGGAAAGCATTGCAGAGTAAGCAAACTTACAAAAAGGGGATCTCTCTTTTCTCTGTCTCTGTCTCTCTCTCTCTCTCTCTCTCTCTCTCACACACACACACACACACACATACACACACCACCTCATTAATCATTTCTTCCCCCACCCCCTTTAATATATCTTCCCCCACCCCCTTTAATATCATGTTTGGAGTTTGGGAAGGCACGCGTCCTACGCTCGTCTTCCCAAACCCCAAACTTGCATGTCCTACTTTCCTAGCTTGCCTTCTCAAACTCCAAATTCGCGCGTCTTACACTCGCCTTCCCAAACTCCAAACTCACGTGTGCGTCCTATTTTCCTCGTCCTACTTCAGTTTGGAGTTTGGGAAGGCGAGCGAGAAAAGTAGGATGCGTGAGTTTGGAGTTTGGGAAGGCGAGCAGAGCCTTAATATAAAAGGCTGGTTCTGCTTTCAAAAAAAGAGAAAGGAAGAAAGATTATTGGGCTCCTTGCATTATCCCCGCTTGAAGCCATCCTTTGCAACAAGGAAAAATCCAATCTATCCAACGCTATCCAACATTTCAAATCTGTGTGCACCGAGAGGATAGCTTGTTTTTTTAAGACACCAGTCCTGCATATCTATATCTAGGAATAAATCTCATTAAACTCATGAAGCTGTGAAACACAGAATGCAAAAACACACACACTCACTCTCTCTCCCTCTCTCTCTCATCTTTTGCAAAGTGGAGTCTTCTTCTAGGCAACCTGCTGCTTACTTTGGATTGGTTTCCCTGCATGTCTAGAAAATCAGTACAGGTCCTGAAATCCAGTATTTATTTAATGAATTAATTTTATTTTTATTTATATCTGGCCTATACTATTTTTATAAATAGCTCAAGGCAATGAACATATCCAACATATCCAAGCCAGGTCTCCTCACATGGAGAGGGAGTGGGCCTCCCTCTGACCCATGCAATTTGCCCTTCTGCAGTCACCATGCAGCTGGGCACCCCCTCAGGGAAGTGCAGCCAGGGTAGGCAGGACTGTGGGGTTCTGGTGCTGTGAGAGCTCAAGGGCCAGGCTGGGTGCTTGACCTCCTCTGCCCAGGGCTCCAGGAAGTCCGTGCCACTGTCCATGGGCCCCCTGCATTGCCTAAGGCTCAGTGAGGCTCCTCCAATGGACCATGCCCCAGCACTTGATCTGGTCCCACCCACCCTCCGCTGAAGACTCTCAGATCTGGCCCAGTTCTGCCCAGGCCCGCACAAGTACCCCTGATGTGAGTGACGGTGAGCTGGCCACGCCCACCCAGTAGGCCATGCCCATGCCAACCATGCCTGCCCAGTAGGCCACACCCATCCAGTGGGCCATGCCCATCTGGTACCCGACAATAAATAAGTGGGGTTTGGATTGCAGTTTGGGCACTCGGTCTCCAAAAGGTTCGCCATCACTGGCCTAGTATGTCTTTATCAAGAAAATGTTTGTTATTTATGCTGAGTTTTCTTACGAGATGGGGACTACACTGCGTAGTTATTTGTCACAGAATATCTCATACGAGATGACATTTTTGTTGAAAGCCTAAAACTGTGACCATGTTTCAGTCTGTCTACATTGCAGCAGATGAGTTGTATAAAACAAGATAATTAAGTTAATGTAAAAGTACAGCATTAGAATTGATAATGAATTATCAAAGTGGAAGATAGTTTCTGCCTTTTAGGATCAACCATCAAAACTGAAGGAATGAGCACTCAAGAAATATGCTGCAGATTAGCACATGGTAGAGCAGCCATGAAGGCCTTGCAAAAGATATACCTACGAAAGATAAGAATTGTGTAAACAATGGTATTTCCTATGATACACTCCATGAAAGTGAAAGTTGGATTCTGAAAAGGTAGGCTAGGAAGTTACCGTAGTGAGACTTCTGAACTTAGTGTTGGAGAAGACTCCTGAGAATACTTTGGACAGCTGAGAAAATAAACCAGTGAATTATCGAACAAATCAATCCAGAGTTCTCACTCAAGGCACAAATGACCAGGCTTAAATTATGTTTAAGTTCAAACACATAATGCAAAGACCTAGTTCTCTGGAGAAGATTCTAAAGCTGGAAAGTGGAAAGGAAAGAGACGTCAGATAGCATCATTGTAGCATCTGTATGGTTTTATTGCTTTTATTGTTGTAACCTGCCCAGAGTTGCCTCACATTGAGATGGGCAGCAAATAAATACACGAGAAGAGGATGATCTGCAACAAAGTGAATGTACTCAGTCACAGAGGCAATGAATGCACTTTTGAAAGACCAAATGTAGAAACAGATTGTCATGGAGAAAACCTTATCTATACGGTCACTAGGAATCCAACACTGACTTGTTGGAACATAACAAAAAAATAATAATTGTCTAAACACTGACTTTGAGGGAAGTATTTGGAGAATGAGTGTGAATACATTGGAATAAGTATGGCATATTCACCACATTCTTAAGAATATATTCTCTGATCCAACATACATCTAAACCAAGGAATTTCCTGTTCACCAGCTCAATAATTCAGGAAATTCAGAGGCAAGAGAGGAATATAGTTTTTCTTCAAATCTGGATCTTCACTATTGTTTTTTTCATTTTCATTTTCTTCTGTGCACTAGGAAACATACATTAAAGCTTGCACAAATCTGTAACTTAATCCAGCATATTCCTAGTATAACCTTGCAGCCCTCTTCTGGTAAACGTAGCCAAATCACATATTGTAGATATCATATCGTATATTGTAGAGCACGAAGTGCACAGAACTTTAGTTAATTATTCCAGTTGTTTCTGAATTGGTTATTTTCTAACTAGGGGCTGCTCAAAGGTAGTTGTGCTTTTCTAAAAACTTTCAAAATACCCCCTGCCTTAGATTTCAAGTTACAGAATTGCAGTTGAAATTTTGCCCCTCACTTTCATCCCAATCTCCCTAGATCATCATGGTAATTTATCTTAAGTTACCTTTAAGGTGTTTTAATTCCTTTAACATAAGCAAAAATATAGATCTGTTTCAACAGATTTCAGATACTTTAAAAGAATGTGATCTACATATCTGTACAGATACATGTCAATGTGTATACATGTCAATGTGACCTACGTGCCTTTTAGAAAAGTATTTGTGAGACAATATTCTACACTAACCAAAGTATCTAGTTTAATTCTAAAATAAATGAACAAATATCAAAACTATAGAGATTAATTTCTTAGCAACAATACAGAAGTGGTTTCTACTTATTCTAGAATCCAAATTATAGGTTTGATATCATAGTTGTCTCCCATTTAAGTATTAACCATGCATAACTCAAGTTAACTTCTTAAGGCAAGACAATTAGCCTCAGATACTGCTTCCTGATAAGATATGAAAATACATGAAAACATGTGCAAAATGATAAAAATATTAAGCCAAGTGTTTGAAAATCATTTTCTTGATCCTGAGCAATTTACAATCAGATACGGATTTCTCCTTATGTATTATAAATATAATCCTAATAGCCACTCTTTCTTGCATTGAGTATTTATAATTCTTTGCAACATTACACAAGCTAGTATAAAGCAAATATGAGGTTGAGCAGACACATACATTGTTTATGCATCAGAGACTGCTTTTTTAAAAATTATAGTCATGAGGGGCCAGAGTGGATGGAGTTGTGTTATGATGTTTCCACAGGGGGACAGGTTTGACCTTTCCACTTTTTGAGATTGGGGGAGGTAAGCATTAGGATTATTGGAGGTTTATTACTTCTATTTTATTGCTGTTCCCATTCAAAATCTAAAAATTATATACCATAGTTGATCAGTATGACTTGAATTTCATTGATGCAGTTTTGGAGGTCTTGGGGAAGGAGATGGAATGACTTCCAGGCTACAAGTTGCTAATTCCTTGCCTGGAACGATAGCTCCTTTTGAAAACTAGTAAATAATCACGTTAATGAGATTGTAAATATTAGGCCTAAGTACATTAATTGTTGATATGACTCATGTTATGACTCATGTTCCAGTTTTTTAAGGAACATATGTTGAATGCTCCAACTCAGGAGGTTTTTAAGAAGAGATTGGACAACCATTTGTCTGAAATGGTGTAAGGTTTCCTACCTAAGCAGGGGGTTGGACTGGAAGACCTCCAAGGTCCCTTCCAACTCTGTTATTCTATTCTATATAAATTTATTTGTGATATCTACTGATTTATTTGCCCAGTTCAAACAATACATGGAGTATAAGATTTGCTTGATTATGATTTAATTGTGTAAATGCTGCTTTGATGTATAACAGTATGCATGACTCCCAAAATAGGAAATAATCAAGATAGATTTGGTCGGGTCCTCCTTTTATCTGAAGGAGAAAGACAGATTTATTGGAAAAGTAAATTGGTTCTATATTTTCCTTTTTAGGCTGTGCACTTACTATCACTGTTCCCATGAGCTTGAACAATTACTACAAGTAAGTGTTTTGCATTGTCAAGGGGTCGCATCTGCATCATGCAGAGATAGTATTGAAAAAGCAAAGTATATTGGGCAAATATCCACTCTCCCTTTTCAAGTTCAAAAGGGGTATGGAGATACCAGGCACTCCATTTCTGGCTGCAGTGCCAGGCTCCCTCTGCCAAATGACCTTGCTTTTGGCCCACTCATTCACCAAGCCCTTGTTTGCTACCTCCTATCCTTCAGAGCCTATGTCAACAGCACCCTGAAGCACCACTCCTTCTATGAAGCCATGCTGCCTTTCTTCTCGCCAGTCCTCCTTTTCATTTTGTGCACCATTTGGATCTTCCAGTCACCGACAGATATCCTGGAGACCCATCCACGCCTCTTCTATTTCATGGTTGGGACCGCCTTCGCAAATATCTCTGTACGTGTCATCCTTTTTGCTTTGAAGTCAGGCTTCCAAAAGGTTCAGGGGTCAGGAAGAAGACAGTTGCTTTGATTGGTAGTCCATTTGTCTGAGCCAGCCTTCCCAAACCAGCCATCCTTTTAGTCTCTCTCTCCTCTCTCTTTGTCACTCTCTCTCTCCTCTTCTTTCTCTGTTTTCTCTGTTTTCTCTTTCTCTCTCTCTCTCATTACAACTCCCACAATTTCTAGCTGACATGACTGCCTGGTTACATTCCAACACCACCTTAACAAGAGGAAGCAGGGGGCTGAATAAGGTAGAAATTCTCAGGAACCTATAATGGGTGGGCAGTTTCCATTGATCCAAGAGCCATATATGGTTTACTACAAGACATAGAGGTTGCTCTCCAGAATTAGGCAGAGCCAAGACCAGGTTTTTGGGTAGGGATTAAATTGGTGCCTTAAAAAACTAAAAATGCCTAAATATTTGGCCCCTCCCAGTCTGGAGGCTTCTAAAGGAATGCTAAGAGGCCACATCATGTATACCTTGAGATGTACTTGTGCACACTGATTTAAAAGGATAATGTCCAAAAGACCACAACAGTTTCTGTATTTTGTCAGGATAGAGACTATAAAGTTTAGTGGATTTACAATGCAGGAAAACAGATTCTGGTCAAATACTGTTAAAGACTACTTTTAACAGTTAATTCTTATCAGCAAGAGTGATGGAATCAATTATTTAGAAAGCCAATGGAAAATGTTGAACCACAATCTAGCTCAGAGTTTTCCAAACCTGGCAACTTTAAGATGTGTAGACGTCAACTCCCCAATTTCCCCTGGATAGCCATCAGTAGAGGCAGAGCACGAGTTTGGATGTGAGAGTCTAAAAATGGCCTCTTCCAGATCCCTGATTCTCTTAACGTTCCAGAACAGTGTTTCTCAACCTCAGCAACTTTCAGATATGTGGACTTCAACTCCTAGAATTCCTCCAACCAGCATGGTGGGAAAGATAAAGGGCATGTAAGGAAGCCAAAACGAAACAGTACAGAACCCAGTATAATTGCAAGTCTCTAGCAAGTTATAGATTTTGTTGTGTACAAAGAGAGAACATTTCATGTTAGAAGGAATCCGGGTATTTGCAGTTCCTGATACAGTATTTAGATAGTAATCAAAATGGTGGACAATTGTAAATTGAATTAGCCCAAATGGTCAGTCAAAACCGTGTGAATATTCTCAGCATCCTTTACATTCGCCAGATGATTTACTACTGGAGCAGTGGATTATTCTAAGAGGAACACAGGTGTTCGGATGACTGAAACAGTCAGTCCATTTTCCTGCCCTTCAGGGACGTTCAGACTGTAATTCTGAGAATTCTCAACTAGCCTATATTGATAGGAAAATTAAACTCAGATTTCCTTCTCCTCCTAACTTCCTTTTGATGTTTTGCCCTTTCTTCCAGTGTCGATTGATTGTCAGTCAGATGAGCAGCACTCGATGTCAGCCATTGAACTGGCTGCTTCTTCCACTTGCGCTTGTTATCCTTGTAGTGATGTCAGACTTGGTACCAGAACAGGAAACAAATTTCCTCTATTTAATCACTATTTTCATCACCTTGGCACACATTCATTATGGAGTCAATGTGGTAAGCCATTCCGCAGGGTTTGGGGCTCCCTGCATTGTCCATTTCAGCATTGTTCTACTTTCCATGTAGTGTAACAGATGGTAGAGATAACTTTGGAATTGTTGGCTTATCTTTCCCAATGAAGTCCCTTCAGTTGTCTCATTGGTTGATATGTAGGCATTCCTGTACAGGTAGTCCTCAACTTATGATTACAATTGAGCTCAAAATTCCTATTGCTAAGCAAGACAGTTAAGTGAATTTTGACCCATTTTTTATCATTCTTGCCACAATTGTTAAGTGAATCACTGCAGTTGTTAAGTTAGTAACATGGTTGTTAAGTGAATCTGGCTTCCCCGTGGACTTTGCTTGTCAGAAGGTTGCAGAAGGTGATCATATGATCTTAGGACACTGCAACTGTCCGAAATACATGCCAGTTGCCAAGCATCCGAATTTTGACAGTGTGACGAAGGGGATGCTGCAAAGTTGTAAGTGTTGAAAATGGTCATAAGTTACCCTTTTCAGTGCTGTTGTAACTTCAAACAATCACTAAACAAATAGTTGCATGTTGAGGACTATCTGTACTTTTCGCAGGTTTGAAATGTTCTTCATCCACCACTTGGACTGCTTTTTGCTATAGAGAATGGGGTTGGTGTAAGCCAATATTAGCAACTAATAAAGTACAATTGCCTAAAATGTAAGACCAAAATCTGTTTTTAAAGTAACAGATTTGTGACTAGAGCTTGAATAGGAGTTCCCATTGAGCAATACAAGTTGAATAAAGACAAGCTTTTTATTCATTCCTAAAAGAAAAGGCCACCCTTTCAAGTATTTTCTATATAATGGTGATGAACTTCCAGGCTAATAGGCTACAATTTAACTGATCAGTCTACGGGTTCATATCATTGGACTGCTGCTGGCTGTAAAAACCTGCATAGATATATTTTCTATAGTCTATCTCTTGTTGTAATACAGTAGAACCAAAGCAATCTCAAACTGTTGGATGATTCTGAGAGTTTTGAATTTGTACTGAGAGATTTAAGTCTACGGAACTAACCATGTGAATCCGTATGCTAAGGTATGGGCCCTTTCTTAGACACCAAAGGGGATAAAAGACGTGGTGTCTCATGGATTGGCAGGAAATCTAAAACTTTCAATTAGTAGTTTAAAAAACCCACAGGAGCTTGAGGTGTTGTTCTTGCTTAAAGATTAAAACTTTAACCACGACTTTTGAACATCCCACTGCAACACATCCTTCAGACTTATTATAAAGTAGGATCGCCTATTTACCTAGAATACTCTTCCCAGTTCTTGTTTGTCTTGAAATAATGCAAATAGAAAATGAATTTTATCTGGAGGATTGGTAGACTGACATAAAGCTTGTTATGCTCCAGAGAAGGAACAGGGAATACACAAAGGAAAGAAAGCTTCTGCATGCCCAGCCTTGATTTCAGGTTTATCCACCATTCTTCATTTGCTCTCTTCTCTTTCCATTTAGGTGAGGCAGCTTAGTAAACACTTCAACATCCGAACCTTTTCTTTACAAAAGCCCAGCTCTGATTGACTAGGCATGGAAAAGGTATCATCAGAGGAAAACGTCAGCCTGCGGTCTTCAGAGGCACTGTAAATTTGGTAGCCTGTGTAAATATACTTCAACCATCACCATGGAACTAGATTTAACCCGCTTTGGATGGTTTGGGGGCAAAGAACATGTGGGACCCAGAAACCAGAGAAGGCTATTGTTCATGTCTCCTCCCATGCCGCTTCATGCCACCTTTCAGAAATGTGTAGACAGTAAAACTACATGATCAGGAGAGGGCCTCATGGAATCTTCAAAGAAAGATCATCAGGCACAGAGGCATGGATGATGGCTTTAGAACTATAAGATTGCCACAGAACTGTCATCATGGCTATACTGAGAACAAGGGGCCCATGAAACTACCCTTGGGAACTGAAGTACATTATTGCAAACTGTTCCACATCCTAAAATCAGAGACCCAGTTATAAAGAGGGACTTTTTATTTAAAGAAGCAATTGATTCTTCTAGAGAGCTCGGAGGTCACAACTTCATTAAGCCATGACTAGTCAGTTGTGTTTTCCCAAATGCCTTTTTTATCCTCCCTCCAAATTGTGGCTTGTGCCTTGTGAAGAGAGAGTGGGGCCACAGCCAATGCTGTGGGAGGACTCAGTAACAGACATTCTTCCTTCATGTTTATCATAGGATTGAGATTGTGATAAACAACATTACCATCTCAATGGGTTAAAGTAAGCTTGCACCAGAGTTATTTGTTAGATGTGGTACATACTCTCTGAGTGACACTGCTTTTCTTGGGTACAATTGAATTTTCTCTCATGAAAACAAGAAATGCAAGTGATTTTGATCCCCGTGTTCGATTTTAGAAATAGTTTGTTTCTGTTTATTACCTGGTTGGGAATCTGTTGAACAATTGAGTGATGGTGAAGACCCAGCACTGATTTTTCTCTTCTGTTTGTACTTTATTTGAGGAAGAATTTTTTTATTTGTGTATGTGTGCTTAAATGAAGAGTGCACCCTAACCCCAATTTTCTTGGAAAGGCTGCACCCGGAAGAAACTGAGCGCAGAATGTTTTTTTTTCATATGTAATTAACGGCAGAGGTAACTTGATGAATGGTTTGATAAGGAGATCCACTTGTTTCATTTTCTTTTTGTGGATGATGCATTCCATTCTGCAGAAAACATTGAGTTGTGATATTATTTATCTTTTCTTTTGTAAACATGAAGCATTATGTCAAAAAACAAAGTGTACGCAGTGTAAAGTCCTAGAACTAATTCTTGCCTTCATTCCTATCCCTTCTTTTCTGTAAATAGTTTATTTTTCTGATTTTCAAGTTTTACCCCAAATGCCATGTCTGGTATGGCAATGAACAAGGAAAGCCCTGATTCTCATTGTTAGCATGAAAAAGAAATTTCAAGACATGGATGGCAAATAATTCTGATTTTGGTTCTGTTTACTTAATATTCCATTGCTATGAAACAAAACTTGAAATGGAGTTAGGGAGATTTTTTATTTGTATCAGAACACTGCACAGGGGGGTAAAATTTGGGTGTAAAGAGGAATTGAGCTTGTGTGAATATTTGATGTTGCAATAGTTAGAATAAAATAATCAGTTGTCAGTCATAAGTGACAGTAAGAAATAGGTCATGTAGTTATAGTCTCTTGGAATCATTTTCTGTTTTTAAGAAGGTGGTCAGTTCAGAGAAGGGATCTGTCTTTATGCAGTTAAGAAATGAATCATTGTAGGAACATTTGGTCTTTGGTCTCTTAATTTGGGACAATAGTGTTTGTCTTGGAAACAAAGAGTTGTCAGATCAATGGTATAGTTTTGCACAGGCTACTGTGGCATAAGAATCCTTTAGACAGAAAGTGATGGCTATCCACAGAAGCCAATATTCTTGGGAAGCAGGGTTCCTTATATGTATGCAGGCTTAATGTGAGCTAGTAAATGATTGTTAGATTCTGCCTAGAAGCATGCATATTATATGGGAACATCTACACTTGTGATGATCAGGAACAGTGCCACTGCAGCTTGCAGGTAACATTTGCTTTTGCATGAGCTTGCTGGCATGTTTGCCTATCTGTCTTCATTGGGGAAAAAAATGTGATTCTTCTTTCCTACCTATCAGGGCTTCTCAGTAAGGAATTTGGTGCCTTAAATGACTCTCCTCAAGTTGAGGGAAAAGTCAGCTGTCTTAAAAAAAATTATTTAAGTGTTGTCCAAGTTAAAGGAGTAGGTATAGCACCTTTAAAAATGAAAACAGGAAAATAGGTTTGTGTATTTTTCTTTATTACTGATTTAAAACTGATTGCAAGTTCGGTGGGAGTCAAATGCACCATTTGTGGGGTTTAAAACACCCTGTTTGAGTTCATCTCTACTGTTCTGAAAATAAAGGTACTGAGTACTGAAGGAATGGGGGGGGTGGACATTTTGCCACTTGCCCTCTACTTTCAAGAGGTGGGTGTAACTACTGGTTTCAAGTTCTCCTTGATTCTAACCTCATCTTGCTTCCTAGATTACCTCAGTGAATGGAAGATGGCATAGAATGTGATGGGAGCAGTTGTAACCAGTTCTTCAGTAGTGTGCCATTCCTTTGCATCCTTTGTTGCCATTTCAAATAACAATTCCATTTTATGTTCCAAAACAGATGTCTGTTCTGCCTTGATTGACTATTGTCTAGGTATCTATGCTTTGGCCCTTGAAGCAAACCTCAGAGAAGTAGAGGATGATTCCTGGGCAAAGCAACTCTAGGGGCCTGATGCACATAACTTTTTTCCAGTCCCTCCACAGTCCTGCAAGATTCAGCTTTTGCTAGCAAAGCTTAATCCAAAAGTGGGTTGTATAGAGAAGCAGCTATTGTAAGACAACACTGGGCTGGGCCCATAAACCATTTGTATAGCCCTCATATTAGAATACAATAGTTCAGAACTGGGTATGAATTGCAAGAAAATCTATGGAATGCTAATTAGCTAGAACCCTGATGATTTGTGGTTGGTGTTAAGTCCAATAAAAAATACACATTGGGGCTATGTTCATTTTGACTTGCAGCAGTAGATCATTCCGGTGTTTAAACCTTACATAGATAGTTGACTGTTCTCCACCATGGTTTCAGGAAAGAGTATGTTGGATAAAAATATTTCATGAAAACTGACATCTACCTACAGATTCAATGAAGGAGGCCACGGTGTCCCCCATCCCACCCCTCCCATTTTTGCTTGAAATGTAATCCTAGGATGTAAAGCTTAATAATAATGGTATTCCAGATCTCCCCAATCAATACTCATTGAACTGATTTCTCAGTTTAAAAGAGACCGAGAATAGATAGGAATCCATTCTCCACATTTAAATTGACTCTGGAATACAGGCAAGATAAGTGCCCTTTTCAGAGTAGGTTCTGTCTGGAAACAATGAACCAAACATAAATATTGGACCAATTGGTTTTCCTTGCTTTTTGATTAACTCTGTGAACTTGGCTGTCAAGTAAAATATCAAATCATCAGTTCTTTGTAAGATACCATACCTGGGGAGGGGGGCAGAACTTGTAAGAGATAGCTTTCTCCTGATTTTTTTCTCCAGAAGGGGAAAATGATAACTGGGTCTCTTTTGGGGAAGAGGGTGTGTGCCTTGGTCTTCATAGGTGCTGACTGCCAGGAACAGTTTCCTACTCTTCTTGGACAAGGAAACTTCTGGCTTGTATTCTTTGAAGCATTCGGTCCAGCAGATTCTGGGCAGTACAAGCTGTGTCAAAGCAAAACTGACTGTACAGATTACTATTGTTGTTAGTGAAAAAGAATTTTCAATAAGAAACTATATAATGTCATTGTGGATTGCTCCACAGTGTGTCATCCTTCATCAAGATTCATGTCTGTCTTATGTATTGTGGACAGTTGACAGTCTGGCAATGGATTTGAATTCTGATCCATTAAATACTATTATTACTGATAAATATTTATTGTATTTAAAAACTTCAAAAGCCTATTATGACATAAAACGTCAATAAATTTTTCCAAGCTTTTTAATATCTCATCTTTTGGGTACTTGTTTTATTCCTGAAATGAAAGTATTGGAGGGCTATCATTTATCAGTTCTGAGTTGTGTCTGCTCAAAACAAGTGCTAGACACAAGATGGTCATAATAGAGTCTTCCTGGGCCAGGATAGATATAACTCAGAGATCCAAGAAGTAAGATTATTAATGCTGTCTCTTTTGTGTTGGCATTAAATGTGCATGATTTTATTTGCAAAATGCTGGTCTTAAAAACAATGTTAAAAATGTTTTGTTTTATTCTTAAAAACAAAAATCTTTCTGCCAATCAATATTTGTTATCAGAGTATTCTAGAAATAAAATAACACATATCAATACAACAAATAGCAAAAGTATTAAAATGTCTGGAAGTTCAAACAATGATACAATACTTTTTCTCCTAATTGGGAAGCTACAGGTTCTTTCCAAAGGTTGCCAGGAAAGGTGGAAGGGAGGGCTTTCCCTTTTGGCTTTCAAGAGGCAAGGAATAGAAAGGAATTTCACAGAATCATAGAATCATGCAGCTGGAAAAACCTTGGAGGTCTTCTAGTCCAACCTTCTATCCAAGGCAGGAGTCTTTATATCAGTGGTTCTCAACGTTTGTGTGACGGCGACCCCCGTCACACAAACGTTCTGCGCATGCGCGGCGCCGCGCGCATGGGGGCGGGGCCACCCCATGCGCGGCGCACATGCGCGGCGGCGCCCCCTGAGGGGAGAAAATGGCGGATCGCCTTCTTTGGCGACCCCCGAAAAATGGTCGATCAACCCCAAATGGGGTCGCGACCCATAGGTTGAGAACCGCTGCTTTATATGATCCCAGACAGATGGTTGTCCAATTTATTTGGAACAGAGAATTTGAACTTGGAGCAGGGAAAAACAATGCCTATCCTGGCAATGATAGAAATTGTCCACATTTGTCTCAAAAGAGACAAGGATTAAACAGCAAGTACAAATGCTGTGGTTGCCTGAATCCAGAGCATAGCCCTGGTCTAATGAATAGGAAGCCTGATTCTCTGTAGGCCTAGACATGGAACAATCAAGCCACTAGGGAGTTGCCCAAAATATTTAGCAGGCACCAGATTGTCTGTCTCTGATATTATATGATGTGAATAGGTTTATTCTTAAGATGACTTAGAAACCTTGAATGCTCTCCAAAGATTTAATTACCCCTTCATTGTTGCAGAATAGCCCAGTGTTGAAGTGCATTTTCAACAGCTATCAGCAGGTCTTTCCATGTGGGGTAATAATAACAGAACAGCCTCCTTTTCGAAGTCCATACTTTTCTACAAAAGAACTTGCACTGAACATGAAGAATTGAGTCCGAGTTACAAATGACCGATTTTCATGCTCCAATTCATGAACCCACAATCCAACTGGAGGCACAGCTGACACCAATAACCAATTCTAAAGGATGCTTCAAGATGGCTGATTTTCAGACAGTTGTGGTTTTAAACTGCTGGACTTCCTGGGTTATTCTGTGTGAGAGAAGGAGAGGCAGAAATGATCTATCAAAGAAACTGATGCCAGACAGTGGCAACAACTGAAAAACCATCTAACCCAGTGATTCTCAACCTTTCTAATGCTGTGACCCCATAATACAGTTCCCCATGTTGTGGTGACCCCCAAGTGGGTGTGACCACCAATAAGAGGGAGTAGGACAGCTAGGGAAAAGGGAAAAAATGGCGGACAGCATGGCTTGGTGACCCCCATGAAATGGTCATTCGACCCCAAATGGGGTCCCGACCCACAGGTTGAGAACCACTGATCTAACCGTATATCTGAACACATGCTGTTGCATATGTTGATGTAATAAAGTGGCTAAAATGCTGAAATAGGAATTGGATTATCCTTGGTTTGACTCTTAACATTGATTCATGCAATTAAACCTAAGTTTTAGTTAACAAAATGCCTCTGTTGCCTCCAAACAAATAATGTGATGGTCTGACTCATACAACATGTTAAGACAATAGACCATTTGTGCAATAGTTGAATTAATACAAGGTTTGTTTTGTCAGCTGATGAAAAAGTTGCTGAACAACAGCATGAAAAAAATGAGTTCTAAACCTTGACTACATGGGCCTCATCCTCATTGCAAAACACATTTCCCCAATTCCATTGCTACTCTTGGCAGATTATTTAGTATTGTCGATGAAGATAAAGACATAATTCAGTTGTAGTATCTCTCTCCTGCATAAGAAAGTCCCAAATTTTATCTTTAATCTTTCCAGGTAGAGACTTTAGTTGAAAACCTTCTGCCAGTTAATATAGACAATACAGGTAGTCCTCAACTTACGACCATAATTGAGCCCAACATTTCTGTTGTTAAGTGAGAATTTGTTAAGTGAGTTTTGTCCCATTTTATGACATTTCTTGCCGCAATCTATCACTGTAGTTGATAAGTTAGGAATCTGATTGTTAAGTGAATCTGGCTTCCCCATTGACTTTGCTTGTCAGAAGTTTGCAAAAGTTGATCACATGACCCTGGGATGCTGCAACAGTCACAAGTATGAACCAGCTGCCAAGCATCTGAATTTTGCTCAAACGATTGGGATGCTGCAAAGGTCATAACTCTGAAAACGGTCATAAGTCAGTTTTTTTCAGTGCCGTTATAACTTTGAACGGTCACTAAATGAACTGTTGTAAGTTGAGGACTGCTTGTATTGTGCTAGGGGGCAAGATCAGCAATTTCGCAGAACAGTTGAGACTGCCAGAAATGTTAGTGTATTCTTGGGACTGTTGACTGTGTTCATGACACAGACATTTAGGCACGAAGCACACCCGGCAAGAAGAATGGGCAGGTGTGTTGTGCATGCGCTATAGCAGACAGGTCAAACTTGCGACGTCACATGATGTCGCGCAACGTATCGGAGCTTTTTCCACATTGCCAGCAATGGGGAGGGCGTGGTTTCCTTGTGAAGCTTCTGGCCTGCGGGCTGGCAGTTTTACACTCCTGCTCTGTAGAGAGATTATAATCATATCCTGCTTCCACCTCCTTTTCTCCTCAAATTCTGATTCCACCCAATGCCAGTACACTTCCCTCTAGTGAAGATAGCTCTAAGCAGATACCATCACTCACCATCTGAAATGCCCAGCAAATCTTCCATTTCTTGCTGAATGCGCAGCAGGAGGATCTCCTGCAACAGCTCCTCCCGCAGGCTCTTCGGCACTATCCCCATGCGCTCCAGGGTTTCCTCGGAGAGGCGCAAGAGAGCCTTGCCAGAGATGGCATGGCTATTGGCTGCCTCCAGCAGTGGACTGCCTGGAGTTCCCAAGGTTTTTCCTCTTAGCCAGGCACACACTTCGGCTGCTGTCCACTGTGCCACCGGGCGCCTTGCTTCCTCCTCCTTTGAACCCTGTAAGGTGCCAAGCTGATCTTTTAATTGGTTTCTTTTACTTTCTGCACACCACATCAACTCTCAACAGCATGCAGGTAATCCTCAACTTAGAACCATTCCTGTCACAACCACTCAAAGCTACAATGCACTGAAAATAGTCACTTACAACTGGTCCTTGCACTGATGACCATCACAGCATCCTCATAGTCATGCAATCGAAAATCAGATACTAGGCAACTGGCATTTATTTATGGTAGTTGCGGTCCTGGGGTCATGTGATGGCTGTTTGCAACCTCAGCCGGCTTCTGATAAGCAGGGAAATCCAGATTTGATATGACCATGTGTTTCACTTAACAACAGCAATGATCCACTTAACAGCCATGGCAAAAAAGATCATAAAATTGAGAGTGACTCACTTAACACCTGACTTGCTCAGCCACAGAAATTCTGGCTCCAATTGTCATAAGATGAGAACTATTTGTAATGAAATGAAGTTTTTCCTTTTGGATCTCTCACATTCCTTTCTTAATTCTGTGCCAGTAACTGAAATACTTGAATAAAGCTACATTTGTTAAACAAACAGGACATTTTTTTTCTATTTATCCAGTACGTTTGCAAACTGGACTTCAGTGGAAGGTTCTCAAGGCAATATATGCTTAAGAACAAAAGCAAATACAGAAAAAGTAATGAATTGCACCCCACCCTCCTACACAATAAGAAGGCAATATTCTACACTGGAACCACAATATTCCTCCAAAGACATAGTTTACTATACTGTACAGCCTAATGTCAAGTTATATAGCCCACAGAAGACAGGTAAAACACTATGATTACTGGAATATTAAGTAGCAAGATGTTATTCTATGGGATAACACTTTTAACCCTCTGTTCTAAGTGCTTAAGTGCTGGTACTCTCTATGCAGATAGTCCTTGAGTTATTCTTTTAACAGCAGTTCAAAGTTGCAATGGCCTTGAAAAAAGTGCTTAAGACTTGTCCTACTAAGTTTAGCTAATTTGATTATGTATGCTGAAGGAACACAGTATAAAAATTAAATTAATCCAATAAAATGAGGGGTTATGCAAATAAAGGCTTTGAGTTGGTACTAGTTGTAAGAAGTTATTTTATACTGAAGTATCATCCCCTAAGAGCCCCAGGAATCCCCCCCCCCCGCCGCCAAATTCTACACTAACTGAAGCTTCCAGATAGTTCTGGAGAATGATATCAGTAATCTCTCCTGGAAGTTACCAGAACATAGTAATTGTGACTAGGTTACTTCTGCTCCAAAACCTTTGGCTAATGCCACCCAGAATCACTTTTTGTGAGATGGACAGCCATAAGAATGTGAGAAATAAATACAGACAGACAGATAGACTGACTGACTGACTGACTGATGTCATTAAGATGTCTGAAAATCTTGGTTCAACAAACATTCTCAAAGTGAATACTCTCCTTTGGGGAGAATAGCAATCCAGAACTGGTTGAACAATCATATCTTGATCCTAGTAATTACCTACTCATTGGAGCACTTGACCACTTAGAGGTAATAGAGAGGGGGGGAGCAGAGAGCAGCACTCCAAGCTCAGATTTCCCATCCTTACTGCTACTTTCTAAAATGCATTCATTCTTCAGGTTAAGAGAGGAAAACCTTATTGCTCTGGACTTCAATCTCCTAAACTAGTTTGGCTAGTTACCAAGACTGATAACATCAAAGCTATTACTGGGAAATCAAAGAAATTCTTGCTATCTTTAAACCAAAGTCCTCTATCAGGTTGATCAAGGTTGTTCTCATGCCATAACCGGTTACAAAACAAAGTTTGCAATTTATCTAATACTGCCTAGTGTTCACCCACTATTGCCTTCCACCAGTTTTGCTCAAAAAAGGACACATTTGTGACAAAGCCATTGTCAAGAAATCTTCTAGATTCAGCAGATTTCACAGTACTGTATAATCAATCAAAACCTGGACAATAAAGAATACAATCAATATAATGTAAAGTCTAAACTAACAAAAGTCTCTCGCCAACACCAGCATATTCCATTCAGTTGTAATATTTCCACAGGTTTTCTTTCTGCCCCTTGATGGAGAATGGAGTTACAGAAATTATTATTCATTATTAATTAGTAGAAATAATTGAAGAGCTTAGAAGGAATCCATGGTTTAGTAACGCAGTGCCTGTTCTGTGTATAGAGTGGACCAGATTCAACAAGTGTCATTTTCAGTCAGAGATATTCAGTTGATAAAAAGGGTGGAGAAGCCCTGCAATACAATGCCAGGTGGTTTAGTTTTGCCTGATATGAAGCAGCTTCTTTTCTATTATTGGTCTGAGGGCACTTCCATTAGTGCTTATTCTGATTAAGGGCTTCTGCGGTGCTTTGGATTAATTCTCTAAATAGTGCCTAAGAACTTGCAGAACTAGTTGGTTTGTTGCAAGACATGCTACGTTCACACTCTTGCATGCTTAAAAGCATTTTTTTTGGGGGGGAGACTGACTGCAAAGCACTGTATGGCACTGTACTATGTACAATTTAAGACAGTCTTAGCACATTTTGGCAAGAATAAATCTAATTTAAATAGTTTGCCATTGTTTTGCTCTAGAACATAAAAGTTACAGAATCTGTACTCTGCATAAGGATGAAACATTTAATAATAATAATAATAATAATAATAATAATAGTAAAGTTGGAAGGGACCTTGGAGGTCATCTAGTCCAACCCCCTGCTCAGACAGGAAACTCTATACCATTTCAGACAAATGGCTGTCCAGTCTCTTCTTAAAAATTTCCAGTGTTGGAGCATTCACCGCTTCTGGAGGCAGATTGTTCCACTGGTTAATTGTTCTAACTGTCAGGAAGTTTCTCCTCAGTTCTAGGTTGCTTCTCTCCTTGCTTAGTTTCCACCAGTTGCTTCTTGTCCTGCAGATTATTGCAGATTGCTTGAGCCAGAGGAAGAAAAGAAGCAGAGTCCAAAGTGCTTACAGTAGTTAATCTCCAGGAAGGGGATAGCTCACCTCTAAGCCTGCAGGCTCTGCATGTGATTCCTCCATGACATTCAAGTCTCCCAATCCCCTCTTAGCATTGCTCTCCATCGGGATCATGAGCTGAAGGAAACAAGCGCACAAGGTTGTGAAGCAGGTGGACAATATACTGTTGACAAAGCAGAGAAATCGTTTTAAGGAATGTGGGGGAAATTGCACGCGCAGCAAACTGCCATGCTTCCCCCCCCCCCACAAACCTAATAACCTTTTGATACCCTTTGTCCTAATGAAGCAGCCAAAAGGTCATCCCCTTTTGACTTAATATCTCACCTACCTAAATAGATAATATGCTTAAGTTACTTCCTATCTCTTCCTGCCTTTGTTAGTTCTTTCTCCTTTTGATCTATCTGTATTTGTTTTTACCTGATCTCTGATCAGGTAATATGTTACTAGAAAATAGTTGCTTATATGAAGGAATTTTCCAATGAAGAAACTTTATGTCAGCATCTAATGGTTAAACCTATGTATGTAAAATGTCAGCATTTAATGGTAGAAGCCTATGTATGTAAAAAGTATATAAAAACCAATAAACACACAGAGACTCTCAAGCTGTCTCAAGCTGTGACAAGCAGCTCTGCAGCAGCTTCAAATCTCTGCTCAAGACATGCCTGAGTCTTTTTCTCAGCGTCTTTACAAAGGAAAGGATCCTGGAGTCCTCTGATATACATTACAAGTAGTTTTGTGTTTGGCTCATAGTGCAAAAGGCTGCCAGCTGGTGAGTTAATATAAAGGCTTGTCATCAACAGAGCTCAAAAGTCACTCTTCTTTCCAAAAACCAGAATCCCATAACCAGCCTTCTCTTCTGTAAAGCAAGATCAACAATCCAACATAACATATTGACGTTAAAATGTGGGAGAGGTTTAGGGCCAGGTTCTGCAGGGTTACAGCCTCTTTCTGTTTTACTTCTTGTTCAGCAACGTTTTTCCCTGCCCTTTTGCATGTTTTATCTCAGGTTATGTAAGGTAACATAAGGCCCTAGAGGGTCTTTGCACAGGTTCATCATGTGTACCAGTTGCACCTTTCCTCAATAAACAGACCCTCCAGACAATCATTCATGCTCTGGTCACCTCGTAAGTGGATTACTGCAATATGTTGTAGAGGGAGCTTTCCTTGAAGACCATCCAGACACTACAGCTGGCTCAAAATGCGACACTACAAGCAGTAACAGGAGCATCTCAATGTGTGCATGTGTTACCCACTGCTATGTGAGTTGCATTGGCTATCAGGCAACTTCTGGGAGCAATTCAAGGTGCTGATTGCCTATAAAGTTATGCATGGCATAGGGTTGGATAGCTGAGAGACTGTTTATCTCCAATAGTACGTGGCCACCCAGTATCTATTCTATTCTATTCTATTCTATTCTATTCTATTCTATTCTATTCTATTCTATTCTATTCTATTCTATTCTAATGAAATGGGTGTGCTTCAGGTTTCCTCTATTAAACATGAACTTCTTGTGGGACCAAGGAAGCTCACCTTCTCTGTTGTGGCCCCCAACTTCTGGGACAGTATTCCCCACCCCCCAGAGATAAAAATGATACCCTCACTCCTAGGCTTCTGTAAAGCTTTGAAAACCGGGCTTTGATCCCAGGTCTCGGGTGATGTTTATGAGCTATTTAAGATGGTAATTTTTGTTTGTTTTTGCATTCATTAGTTTTAGTTTGGGCTGTCTCTGAAATTCAACACTTTTAACAGTTTTTAACTTTCCTAGTTTTGTACACTGCCCAGAGTCCACTGGACTTGGGCAGCGAATAAATTGAAATAAATAACATAACTCACACTTGATTTCTGTCTGGAGCCCGGGGAAATCTTAGCCATTTTGATAAACATAAACTTATTCTGTTGAGATATTTTTGACTAGGGAGACATTGTGTAGCCTAGGGAGAAAAGTGTGCATATGCCCACTGGGCTCAAATGAAACTGAAGGCTGGTATTTAGTATAATAGGGATTTCTTAAAATAAAGTCCTGAAATAGGGGGGAAAGCTAGCAATCCTCACCTCCCAAAAGGCACTTTTTATATAACATTCTTCAACATCTTGTCTAATTACTTTGCCAACATCTAAGCACTCTTTCAACCAACCTACCCTATAAGAAATGTGCACTGAAGGCATAGTAACTGACATAATCATGAGAACCTTTGGTTACTTGTTTGCACACAGCCTGGTCTGACTGGCTGCTAAATTGCATTCGAAGTGTGAGATTTAGAGAGATGGAAGCAAAATGACTCAACAGAAAACTTTAGGAATCTCACCATCTGTCAGGAGTTCTGTACATAGTCTTCTTCCCTCCCTCACACACACAAACACACAAATTAAAGAAAAGATGGGGTGGGTATGATATTGACATAGGTAGCATATTCCCCCAAAGTAGTCCTTTCTGATAAATGGGCCACAAGCTCCAATATCCCCAACTAGCCTAGTGAATGACTTAGAGCAATTTTTTTTAAAACTTGGCCACTTTAAGATGTGTGGATTTCAACTCCTAGAATTCTTCTGCCTCCATTCAAGTCCAACTTATATATTTGTAACAAATGAACACATGATTAAGCACTGCAAGCCTTTGATGACCTCCTTCCAAAGGAAATAACAAAGTGAAGTCCAGAGAAAGAAGGCTAAATATGGTACTTCTGAAATGTCACTGCTTGTTTTGTTTTAGTGTTGTTGTCTTTTGTTTTGATTGCCAGCCATGCTTATTTACCCTTTAGCAATAAAGATATTGTATTGAGATAGCTTCTACCACATCTAAGTATCCCACTTACAGAATTTCATGAGATGGAGCAACCATGCCCAGAGTTATTGTGGAGGATTTGGGTCAAACATTCATGAGAATCAGTCTGTACTAGTAGTACCTGCCACTCCAGATTGTCACCTGGATCCCTTCAGGTGACAACCCCATTTATAGCAAATTGCATTGCTTACCCTATTTCCAAAATTCAGTTTTGCAGCAGAAAGCAAACACCTTAAAACATAACAGCTACACAAATTCACTTCCAGACTCTGGACAAACTGCAAGGACACAATTTCAAGCCCTCCCTGCAGTTCAGAGTTGATAAGGAGCATAAACACCTACATGTTCAATGAGAGATATGCACTTACCAATGTTGTGGAAGTGGAATTAAATATGATTACCGACGTCATGGACCCATGCCAGGTATTGAGTCTTGTCCACTGAGAAGATCTAGAATGGCCTTTAAGACACTCACAGTTTTTCTCCCTCAGCTTCAGCCTGGCTCAATGGTAGAGTAGTTTCTTGCCTTTGTGCTAATCTCCAAACATACCTGGAGATTTTCTCAGCTCCTTCCCCTCCCCTTCCCCAGTCTCCTCCTTTTCTGATTTCAAATCCAGGCAAGAGAGTCCTTGTCTTTCCTGACTTGCAGCCACACAACCAAACAGGCACGTTCATGTTCAGGTCTATGCAGGAGCCATCTGGAAAAATTCCCTCCTCTTTGCCTTATGAATCTAATCGGATGCACCCTCTTTTCACTCATGCGCAACCTGGCATGCATACACCCATCCATGTTTATTTTAACTTCAAGGCAATTTATGATTTGATTGATCCTGCTTCCTGCTTCACGTCAAGAGTGGTTCATATCTATATGCATCTTATTTGCAAAATACACTAAACCATAAATAATAATGCCTTGGAGACACCACAGATTAAGTTTCTATATATGGGTATATATCCAAACCATAATTCTGTGATGTCTCAACCTGTCCTAGGGTGAATCATTTATTCACATTCTGCTTTGGGATTGGTATATCTGACTATGTCATTGTGAAACAAGATCTGAAAGGAGAGGATGAATCTCAGTCTTCTTCCCTCCGCCTTCCATCCCCTGGGGGAATGGGGAGGGAGGTGCAGCTGAATCTCTTGTATGTAACACAAGCATAGTAACACCATCTGTCCTAGTCAGCAGATTTGCAGGGAAAGAAAGAGAATAGCAAACCTCATTAAGGCTTATTTATCCCCTTCTGCAGGGGATTTATTCCCATAGCTGGGCTTTATATGTTGCTTGGTACAAAACCAACCAATTCCATTTGCACAAGCATTCTAAAGGAAATCAAATTTGGCTAAACAACAGCTTATGAAGTGAACTACAAATAGTCTTCAACTTACAACTATTCATTTGGTGACTGTTCAAAGTTACAATGACACTTAAAAAAGGGACATGACTGGTTTTCTTACACCTACCACTGTTGCAGCATCCTCGTGGTCACGTGGTCAAAGTTCAGACACTTGGCAACTGGCATGTATTTATGACAGTTGCACTGTCCCGGGGTCTTATGACCACCATTTGTAACCTTTCCAGCTGGCTTCTGACAAGAAAAGTCAATAGGGGAAGCCAGATTTACTTAATGAACAAATGATTCACTTAACAACTGCAGCAATTCACTTAACAACCGTGGTAAGAAAATTCATAAAACGGGGCAAAACTTACTTAACAACTGTCTTGCTTAGCAATGGAAATTTTGAGCTCAGTTGTGGTAATAACTCTAGGACTACCTGTATTTGATAGTGGAACAATCTATTTTGAAGGATAGTGGGGTTCCTTTCCCTGGAAGTTTTCACCATATTTCCTCACTAGTGATTTATATTGTTTTATACAAGATGAATTCCTTTCTCACCCTTACATTTTGCAATTCTTTGATAAGAGCCAGGCACCAAATTCTTGGTAAAGGATATAAATAAATGTAGTTGCTAATGCTTTTTATGCATTTCTCAGGGAGGATTCAGACACTGCCATGTCAGATTGCCTACTGCCTAAAAAGAATCTTGTTAATGTTAATCCCTGGATATTTTAATTAATCCCACTTGAGCAGATGCATTTATGCAATGGCTGTGGCGGAGTGGGCTTCAAAAGTGGAGTTTAGAAAAATGTTATAAAGTAATAACATTTATTTATCTAATAAATAAAAAAAAATGCTGGCTGAGAAGTATCAAATGCAAATACTTCTATGCTACGGACACCAGGAGTCGCTGCACATACTTTTTAGATGAGGGAACTCTACAGAAACATTTGTGCAGTTTACCTATATCTGGGAGGGTACATATCAGGCAATTAAAAGCCTCTTCTTATCATCTTGTTAAAAAAACTCAAGAGGCTCTATGCCATTTACCCAAGCCTAGCTTGGTTGAATCCTGTCTTAGAGATGCACATCCACTTGGAAGATACCTCAGTGCTGCCCTATTCTTATAAATTCAGTTTTCTATCCCATTTAATCAGCACCTATTGCCCAGTAGTTTGAAACTTCTAACCCAGCATTCCCAGTCTTAGCATATATGGACTTCAACTCCCAGAATTCTCCAGCCAGCAATGCAGGGAGTTGAAGCCCACATAGCTTAAAGTTGCTAAGGTTGGGAAACACTAATTTACCCCTTGTTTTCTTTGCCATTTCAGGGAAGGCTATATTGCTCTTGTTCTTATAACTGCTGGTGCAGAATAAAATGAAGTTTCTGATGTTCACTGAGCCCAAAGTGGAGAGCAAGCTTTGGAACTTAGTATGGAATTCCCCTTCCATTTCTTGTTCCTGATTCTGTAGGATCCTGAACAGGCGATAAACCAGTTCATCCTCTTCTTGTTATCCTTGCATCTCATTTTTTTGTTCACAGAGCAAGTGTGATACTTCAGATTTGGGGTGAAGCAATCGAGATTGGCAGGCTGCACAGATGATACTAGTATGGATGCTTCTAGTTTGGTTAGCTGTAATTCCAAATAACCACAGTTAAAAGCATTAAGAAAGCCAATTAACAATTGAGATTCCACAAATTTCATTCAGGCAAAAAGCAGGCTGATCTGATGAATGGATTGTTTCAATAAACCCATCCAAGTGCCTCCATAAAGAGAGATATCTGTTCTTGACAAACTCTGCATAGACTTATTTGTTTCCAAATACTGTTTGTAGCCCTTATGACCACCTCTGCAGCCACTGAACATGAAACTAGCTGTTATCACAGAAGTTATTTATCAACTAACTGTGTGGTCTTCTGGGCACTGATATGTCTTCCAATGTGTTTAATCCAAACAATACAATCTGCCCATGTACAATTCAGTACTGTCAGCTTAGGTAGGTTGTATCTACAGTGTTCCTAAGCAATCTTAGACCAGAAATTGAGTTAGCCTTGTTGTTCCAATTCGGCACTGGTTTCTAAGGGATACATACAGCTAGGCCCTTCTATCCAGAAGTCCCTATAATATATGAAAGACTTAGAACCTCTTTCACCAATGGATATAGATTTAGAAATACTGTAGATAATGGCATTCTAGTAATTTTAAAATATTATATCTGGATTTTGCTATCTAAGAAACAATTGCAAATCAATCAATGATAGTTCAATTAATATTACACAATTCATGCTAGGCTTTCCATGCCCAATTTAACTAGAAACTAAAGCAGGACAATTGTTACTAATATATTTCGATTTGTATGCATGCAGTAATGGGCTCTGTGTGTCTGTTTGCTGTCCCAACCTCCATAACAGAATAAAATGTAGGCAATCACTAGTGAAAAATACTCTCCAACAATGTATTGATTTTCTTTGTTCCTCAAAAAGGACCTGAAGGGGGGAAAGGAAGGAAAATAAACAACTATAGTATTCAATCTGCATAAAGCCATTTCTGTCATGATTGTATACCCAACTAGCTGGAACAGCCATAGAAAATAGAATGAATCTATAGAGCATACAGATCAAGCAAAAGAAGTATAGTGTGAGTAAACCTAGAGGCACCACTGCGCACTCCGCTGCATTTTGGATCAATTCTAACTGCCGGGTGGTCTTCAAAGGCAGCCACATGTAGACTTCCGGTTTGCCGCTGCAGCTGCTGCGGCCATCACTAAAATGCAGACAGCCGGTCAAACTCATCACCAAGCACTTTGAAAGCAACGCGGATGAAACTGGGTCCGATCTGATTTTCTCTTTACTTTCTCTTCCTGTAAAAGCTTCCTGAAGTAGCTTTCTCTTCCTGTAAAAGCTACCTGAAGTAGCTTTCTATCCCACCCTCTAAGAATAGCGGCGTTTGACTACCCAGGGGAATTAAAGCATTAAAAAAAATCAACTTTAATCTAATTGGATTTATATGTTCCTGAAACTTGGGGACCAAAATTTTCCTATTTTTATTGGAGACTCTTGTTTTTATCTACAAAAAAGAAATAAAATTGGAAAAAGGATTATAAAAAATTTGGACTTAAAAAACCTTAAATGGCATCAGTGACATCTTGTGGTGAAGTTTGGTACTACAACTTATTTCCTGAAAGAGACTTGGCTTGAAGCCCAGATCTTAGATAAGACTTTTCTGACCTTGGCACCACCTGTGAGAGACTTAGCTGTAAGAGAACAACTAGGCGGTATAATTGGCCTACTTGAACTGTGAATGTAAACCTTTACTGACTCTCAGAGTTATATGTGGGAAGCTGCTTTCCTATCTGTTTGACTTGAGGAATATTGGTCACTATGTGAGATGTTGAAATACCTTGGATTATAAAATCTTGCTTGACAAACAACTTCTGCTAGAAAGACTATTTATAAACACGTGAAAGATGGATGAAGACCAGGAAAAGATTCTTTCCATGTTGAAAGCAATACATGAAACCATTCTTTCAGCTTGTGATAAAATAAGACTTAACATAAAAGATCAAGATGCCAGCTTAGATACACAAACCCAAACTTCGACTACAACCAAAGAACCAACAATGCAGAAGATAACAGAAGAAGTGAGACAATCAAATATTAAGACAGAGGACTCAATTGACCAACAAATACAGCTGATGGAAAATCCAGAAAAGGAAGTGACAACACTGAAAATGGAAATGACTTTCTATATAAATCAGAAGAAATTTGAGAAAGAAGAACAGATTGAATGAAAGACAAACATATCAGGGCAAGCATGGGGAATTGGAATAACAGGGAGACAACGAATACAAATGGGCTAGTCCTTCCAAAAAAATGGCAATTAAATGGTCTCCTTTATTTCAAATAACATATATAATAATAGAAGGAGATCTATTTGACGATCTAAAAGAATTGATATGGAAGCCTAGTTGGCAAAGGAAGAAAGCCAGAATAAGGTTGAAGAAAATTGGGGTTTTGACTTATTAGAGGGGATTTCATATTATTAATTAGAGGGTTAAAGGAAGAAGTTGAGAAAAGGGGAATTCTGGTCATTAGACCATTGAAAATAAGGACTTTATCTGTTTAACATTCAAAAATTAGACCTAAAAGGAAAAAGAAAATTATTATGAATATGTTTGATTTATTGATTAACCTAGTCAGGGGTAGGCAACCTCGCTCTTTTATGACTCATGGACTTCAACTCCCAGAATTCCTGACTCAGGAATTCTGGGAGTTGAAGTCCATGAGTCATAAAAGAGCCGAGGTTGCTTATCCCTGACTTAGGTAATACACATAATGGTTTTGATTTATTAAAGAGGATATTGTATTATTAAGTAGATGATTTAATATGGTGGGAAATAGATAACTTTTAGGAAATAGAACAAGATTATATTCAAATATATAAAATATGTATGTTGGATATTAGATTTTGTCATGAATTGAGACAAGGGAAATCTTGGTTACCTAAGGCTTGAAAATTATAAATATCAAAGGTTAAATTGGAATATTGATGAGAAACTAAAAATTGGGTAAAAATTAATAACAGGATATGGATTGTTTATGAAGACTGAATGTAATTAAGATATGTATAAGCTACAAATTTATTGATAAATGTAATGTTGTTTTTATTGAGTTGATATAATAAGAATTGTACTAGCTTGAATACGAGACAGTAAATGTTAAGGGAAAAAGAGAAGAAATATTTGATGTTGTAATTTGAGATTTGTACTAAAGATTTTGTTATCAAACTATTGATTAACCCAGTCACCACGTTGCCTTTTTAAATACTTAAATGTAAAATTGGAAAATAAAATATTATTTTAAAAAAAGGCAGCCACATGTAGAACGGATTATAATAATCCCAAAAGGAACTGATGAAGGCTCGAGATCATGAGCAAGGCTTCCTGGTCCAGGAAGGGGCACAGGTGGCACATCAGTCAAATCTGTACAAATCCTCTCCTGGCTATAGCTGCCACCTGATCAAGCAGGAACTGTGAGTCTAGAAGGGTCCCCAAATTGCACACCAACTCAGTCCAAGGGAGCGCTACTTCATCCAGAGTCAGAGATTAAATATCAACTGGGCCTAGGCCCTAGAGCAGGGGTAGTCAACCTTGGCTCTTTTATGACTCGTGGACTTCAACTCCCA